GTTCGCAGCAACCGTATATTTCATTTGGAATGCGATGACTAGGTTGATTTTTAAAAATAAGTCTCAACCTCCGACGCTATTGATTCGTAAGATTCAAACACATGTTTATCATATAAATTTTGTGTTGTATTCGAATGTGATTGCCAAATTTGAGAAAAAAGCCCTTGGAGCATGCTAGGTATTTCCTTGGTAAGGGTCTTATGAGCCCGCGATATGTTCGTCGCGGGTCCATCAGAGGCAGCAGTATTTGGAGTCTGCGACGGGCGTCGCGCTTGTGGTCTTTGCATTTTTATTTTTCTTCGGACTTGAGTAAGCAACAGACTTGTGGTTGGCGTCTTAGGCTTTTGACCTGTAAGAGAGAAGCCGAGCATGTGGCTGCCCACTACGCTTTTGTAGGCCGTCTTTCGGTCGCTAGAACAACAGTTTTGATCTATAAATTTATATTTTTCTATAAAAAAAATTAAAATATTAACCACGACTTCAACTAAAAATTTAAAACTAGGCAATGTAAAATAATTTTGGTGTATAACTTAAGAAAACCCCAACAATTTCAATTCTATCATAGCGTTTTGAGGCCCAGTAACGAAGCCCAATCCCTGTAAGCCCGGCTCGACTCATTAACTTAATGAGTTGAGCTTGAACTTGACTCGTTTATCAATACTATAATAGGGATTAAGTTTTAATCGTACTCAGATTTTAACGAATCGAACTATAAAAAATTATATAAAATTCGCCAAACCCTTTCTTCGCTCAAATTTTTATATTTTCAATCTTAACCAGCAGAAACTATTTAGGGGTGTGTTCGTTTAAAATTTGAGTGATATTTGATACTTTTTAAGATTATCAAATTTATAACAAAATCCTATGAACTTAGCGGAGATTTCATCAACAAATTTTAAAAAATGATAATAAATATCAATCTAGTTTCGAATAAGCTAAATACCTCACGATTTTATAATTTTTCGAAAACTTAAAATGAATAGTTGAGAACTTAAAAAGTCTTAAAAAATCTAAAATTAAATAAAGTAGTTGTACTATCAATGATTCTAAGGTTATCATATATAAAACCAATTATGTTACAAAAAAACCTGAAATCCACATCCGCCTCACATATTCCCAACGCCATAATTCTTCCG